AAATCCAATGAAAATCTTTTTATATTACACATATTATCTGCATTTTTCCCGTTAAACTGCAAAACTTGTGCATTTCACTCGTTATTATAAAAAAGTTTTCCTAAGTATGATATAGCATTTGCGATCAACAAGATGTTGGTTCTGAATACGACCCTGGCCAATTCTTGGGATTTTCAATATCACGTGCGTAGGGCATGTCAATGTTTACATCCACTCTATCTTGGATTTGAATTTGCTTTAGAAATCGAAACGGTTAATGCAATAAAACTAACGCCATCTACGTGTTAACTCCGAGACTTTTCAGTAGTATATCTCAAAACATTTAATTATTTATCTGTTGAGAAATCATTGGGAGTTCTTTGATAAACTGTTTATTTCATTCAACAGATGGGAACGTGGTGGAAGCGAAAGAAATCGCCAGTCGCTACATGACGGATATAATAGGAGCCTTCATGTTCGGCTTCGAGACCAACGCCTTCCAGGAGAAAGGCGAGGATTTCCGCAGAAACGTCAAGAGAATGTTCAAGATCACACCGATAAGTATTGTCAGACTGTTTTCGTACTTTTTGGCGCCAGAAATAGCAACTTGGTTCAACTTCCAATTCATGGATAGTACTTACTTGCAAGGAGTTTTTCTGGAAACGATAAAGAAAAGGAAGGAAACCAAAGAACAGAGGAACGACTTTGTGGATTTGCTTCTCAAGTTGAAAGAAGATTTTAGAAACTACAACAGCGGCACCGTTTTCGGTTAGTACAAGAGAAACATTCATTTGTTGATGTGGCAGTTTTAATTGTCTCATTTTCATTCATCGATCACAAATTTTTAGTTATGGTGAAAACACTTCGTGAGATTTTAACTATACAACATTTTTTTAGGTATGAAAGACATGTCAGGACTTTGTAAACTGTTTTGTAAATCAACTAGGTTCACCATGCTTTGTGCAATTAATTTTCAATCTGTTCTTGAAGTATGTACAGCTTGGCAAAAGTAGCTGTGCCTCTGAATATTGGATGCGCAGAAGAATAATTTTATTGAACTCTCTTGAAAAGCAACAATGTTTCAGATACAAAAACCATGCTCACGCAAGCCATAGCATTCTTTCTTGGAGGTTTCGAAACAACAAGTACGATTGCTTCTTATGCTCTGTACGAACTGTGTCTCAAAAAGGACTGCCAGGACAGACTGAGAAAAGAAATCAATGAACACGTCAACGAAAAAGCTGGCGTCACTTTTGAAAACTTGGCAAATATGAAGTACTTGGATATGGTCGTTCTAGGTAAGTAACACATCTGATTGAATTCCTTTTCTGAGCACTTTTTTCACAAACCAGAACTAGAGTAAATCCTCTCGAGGCGCATTTTTCCCCTAATTCCTCGAGTTGTTGAAAGCTCCCCAATAACGCCGAGCCACACGGTAAGAGAAAACTGTTCTTGATGGTTAGTTTCGACAATAGCGTGAGGGTTTTCATCAGCCCATATGTGGTAATTATGAAAATTAATAGTCTTNTTCAGTAATATTAGCTCTGTTACCTTCTTATCAAATTTTGGAAAATTATTTTACGCCTAATGCTTTGTTTCAATTTTCCCCAAATCAACTCGATGACATTGAAAACACAAAAATAGGGGGGAAGTCTCAGTATGGTGTGTCCATACTTTTCAGCAATACTCTCAAGGGCACTGTTTCAAATGTTTTTGCCTGTAAAACTTCAAGTAGTTGGTTTTTGGTATCGCGAATGATAGGAAGCGTTGTCAAGAACTATTCGCATCCAAATTTGGAATCTATGTGTTTTCAAACCATTCCTCGAAAATATTAGCTTTCATGTTCTTATGATAGTCAAGTTTTTCCTCAAGTTTTCTTCCATATAATTTCAAAGAATTCGGAGCCTATCCTTTACTTCCTCCGCAATGCACAATGATTAGTCGCGATCCTTTGTTTGCAGACATGTTAGGCGTACACATTCCCGAACCATCAGCCCACCCTTTCGTAACTGTATCGTGAGCGTCATACCCAGATTACTCTAAATAGAAAATTTGCCGTTGTTCTTGTCTATATTTAGTTATTTGTTCTAAGCATTTGTTACACAATTCCACTATTCTTCAGCTTTGCATAACTGCATAAAAGCATTTTGGGACTTCTCAGTTCTATGAAACGTGTTCCTTGCAACGAGTGTTCATAGTCTGTTTACTCTGCCCACCATAGTTTAGTCCCAGTTCATTTCGTAAATCTCATCTGTGGAATTATTGATGTTTTCGCTTGCAGAAACCCTCAGAAGGTATCCAGTTTCTTTATTCCTGAACCGGAGGTGCAAATATGATTACGTAGTGCCGTCGACAGGTTTAGTCATCGAAAAAGGAACACCGATCTTCATTCCGGTAGACGGAATTCACAACGATTCCAAATATTACCCGGAACCCGAGAAATTCATACCAGAAAGGTTCGAGGACAAGAAATCTTATTCACAGTCTGGGATATTCATGCCTTTTGGTATAGGCCCCAGGCAGTGTATAGGTGAGTTGGAGTTTTTCCGAAATCGAACACCCGACGTATTTTTTTTCACGTTTTTTTTGCAGGTAACAGGTTTGCGATGATAGCGACAAAGTCTTTTCTAGTGAACGTCCTCCAAACATTCCAGCTGGAAAGATGCCCGGAGACTCCAGTTCCTCTAATTGTAGATACAAAATCGCCGTTTTATCACTCGCGGAAACCACTGAAGATGGTAGTAAAAAGTTGTACAAAAACAGATAATGATCTGTCTTGAAGATATACTTACCTACCTTCAATTGCCAAGCAAAATGGCAATACATCAGGAAAATGTTAATTTATTATGGTTTTTACTTTTATTTATTTAGCTTATTTGCCTTCTGTGATCAAAAATTTAAATTGTCTCAGTTTTGCAGACGATCGCAAGATATTCAAATAATAAATTATATTTCGATATTCAGAAATGTTGCAGTGTGTGTCTGTTTAAAACAACCAATTGAATTTCGAAGTCAGAAAAGTATTAATCTTCTCTATTTCAACCATTGATTTCAAATTTATTACAGAAAGTTGCTAGAAAATAGGCGTACGATGTCTGTTGAAAAAATGAGGTGAAGTTTAATTTTTTTTAATATTAACATTTGTTTACCAACAGGATTTGAAGCTTTAATAACTTGGATTTAGGTAGCAGTGGAATTATCAAGCTTATAGCAGTTCGGTTACTTTTATAAGTAATTTACAAAGAGTTATCGACGGTGTTTCGAATCATCTTTCAAAATGAATGCAAATATCGATTGTTCAAACGAAGTTCTTATGAAATTATTTATTATACACATGAACAAAGTGATCAAATCATTGTCAGAACGTGTAAAAAATTCAACCAAATGTTTCCTGAATTAACACCAATGAACGAGAGAAAGTTTGTAAGGTTACAAAATAATTTCCTTAACTATGACTCAAAGTTTCAGAAAAATCATGCTTTGCGTTTTCCAGAAACGTCTAACCTACCATCGACCGTGAGTCACGCTGTATATGAATACCGATGGTAGTGGTAGTACAGCGCTGTATACGAGTGCTGTACTATCATCTTCATGCCTCTACTCAAACTGAACGTTTTATCTTCTTGTTTGTTCTTTTATACGGTTAGAACGCCTTAGTGCAGGAATTTGTTCTTTCCTGTCTTCTGGATGTCTCTTTAAATTTGCCTGTATTTGGGTTACATCTTTTGTGTTGGAGTTTCTTTAGTTCCAGTGTTTCTATGTATGTGTCTTGTATTGTGTAGTATATTGAATGTTAGGTATTTGTATTTTGATTTGTATCTGTTCCTCGATAAGTGAATTATCGCTTTTGAATTTATGGATGTTAAGGTTTTCCCAGATGTCCATACGGTTTCCTTTATTGACTTGTTTTATGAGTTTGATGTTTTCTGGTGGGGGAAAGTTATGTTTGTTTGTATTGCGTGTGTTGCGAGGTTTCATTTGTATGTTATTGGGTTTATGTATGCTTTTTTGTGCTCGTTGTACCTTTGGATCAGTTTTTTCTTGGTTTTTCTAGGTTTTTGTCTTCTTCTTGTCTTTCTTCTTTTATTTTTTGCGTTATTTTCGTGTTCGGTTTGTGAGTGATTTTGATGTTCAACGGCTTCAAGATGTTTGTTGATTTTTTGGTTTGGTGACCTATGTATGTAAATGCAGTCCATCGTTGTGTTGTTTCATCTGTATTTTTTTGTTTGATTCAACATCACCTGATATAACCCAAATACAGGCAAATTTAAAGAAACATCCAGATGACACTAAGATGCACTAAGGGGTTCTAAACGTACAAAAGAACAAACAAGAAGATAAAAAGTTCAGTTTGAGTGGAGCCATGAAGATGATTGAAAGCCTGTATTATTCATGGAATATTTTATTGATTATTTTGTGTATATACATATATTATAGCCACCATAAACCAATTGCTACTTTTGTAGGATTAAATAGTGATACTGATAATGTACACACAGAAATTTAGTATCATCATTTTTAAGCCCCTTCCACACAATAAAAAAATATAAGTTGCTTGCTGGTTAGATTTTTATAATACTGTCAACAATATATGTCTATCGCACACTAAACACTGATCGTCTGTCCGACACGAGAGAGGAGGAGCTTGCCTTCTGCTGACGTATGCGTGAGAGAAAGGGAAGCCAGACAAACTGGCGGCGTTACGCGTTAGGTAACGAAGCGGTTTACCCTTCCATGAGAAGTTGACACATCAAAAAACCGAATACAACAACTGTTTGTTTTCTTCAAGTTAACACTCTAGAGAGAATGATGGGAACTGAAAAGTTTGGAATTTTTATAATGAGCTGCGATGACTGTGACAAAACATATGTTGGTCAGATTAACCCACCTATGAAAACTATTTTTTGAGAAAGCTACGGGAATGGCGAAACAAGATAATATAATGAAGAATCATTACTTGAAATTGGTAAAGGGTGCTAAAAGATCACATTTTGAACAGCCCTCTGTTAAAATTAGAACTATAGGCAGATAGTTGAAGTGTCAACTGACAAATTTTTCATGTCCTCATCAGCGTAATTACGTTAAATTTTTCAAGTGATACATTTTTCGAAATTTTGCATTGGCATCATTATGTCGTCTTAAATGCTGACTCTCACAATCAAAAACAAAACTGACTATATAAATTCTTATGCATGAATATCTCTATAAAACATTCAAATTTCGTTTAACTAATTCAAGGGGTAATAAAGGAAAGATAAAAAACTGGTCTTCGAGAAGTATGTAAATTCCATTCAACAAAGTTTAATGGGAATTCACCACCCTCTCTCACCCTTTCCGACACACCCCGTCTATCTTACTCTCTCTTCCACCACGGCCAATCTTCCCTCTTTTTCTGTGACAACCAAACGAGTATACCTGTTTGAAAATCTGAGGGTTTTTTGGAACAATTTCGTTCCACAATCTTTCGGCTCCTCATTTACCATACAAGTTTGATACATTATTCATTATATTCAAACCCGGTCTCGATGTTGAAGGATGTTTTTCAGGAACTATCTAAAATTCAAATAGCAAAATATTATTTATAAAGTAAGGCCGATTGGGTGAATACTGTTACACCGTCTGAAAAGATTAGTCAGTGAAATACCGAGTTTAGCGAGTGCATTCCTAGTGAACGATGGTTTTTTCCTACTTGTACTTCATTCTGCAAGAGTGTGTAAGTAATAATAACATTTATTAACCGTTTTAACACCTCGACCAAGTGATCATCTTCAAGAGGTAAATCAAACTTATTTCTTATGGTTTTTATCGTCGTTTATTATATATTTCCGTTTATCTATTATCATGTTCCTGGAGATTTGATTGCTGACTTTCTCTCGAGCTAGGCCCTTCAAGAAATCAGGCATATATTGAATCGAATTTAGAACACTAGCAACGATATTCTCAAGTACCTTTTCCGAAGACGGGATGCCAAATTTTAAACCGTTGTTAAAAAGATTGATCTCTTCCTCATCAAACATTTGTGACGAATGATTTTTGACAATATTCATGACTTTCTTAGGCTATGCTTGGAGACTGGCAGTAAACAAATCTAAAGAAATGCCCGTGCCCGTTCCAGAATTGAAGGTCGACTCTTTCAGTTGTATTGCCAATTGCATATGCAGGAAATTTTCTGTGAAGGTTCCTACACTGACGCCTGTCGGATATAATCCAACGCCCTTCGTGGTATTAGCCTGGGCAGTAGTTGTTTTCTGATAGGCGTCAGTCCATTCAACCTACTGTGTAGGTATATCCGAGACTGGCTTGAACGTTCAAAGTTCATTTCTTTCGATTTTTTTATGACAAATTTCAATAATTTGTTCCTCGAAAACGAATGATTTTTCGACAAACATTTTATAGAAAAACGTTGCTCGTTTTGACGAGATCCACCACATAGGAAGTAAATTTTTGTAATGTTCTCAGCAACTTCACTTAGCTAAGTAATATGGATCGATATAGAAAATTGTAAATAACTCAAAAACGATCACCTCCAGTGTTGTTGAGAAAGTGTACCTTTTTCAGTTGGAAGAGGTGTGGGAATTAGGTTTTTCCATGAAAACTACCAAAAGTTCACAGCGTATGCAGGCACTCTAGGAGATGTTACACGAAAACTTAAACACGAAACTATGATTTCCCAGCTTAAAAAAATCCCGGGTACCAAATTTCGTGCAATTAACTTAGTCTTTGCAAAAGTTATTTTTTAATTTTAACTTACTTATGGTCACTATGTTTTATTTAATTTTTCACTTTTCAAACCTTCCTCGTAATTTAAAACCAAAAATTGCCAAATCTGTCCAGCCGTTTTCGAGTGTTGAAATAATAAACAGATAATTTAAATTCTCAATATTAGATTTCATTTATATGAATATTTTGATTAGATTTTATATTCTTCAGATTTACTGATTTCATTATTATTTGCGATTTTAAATTTAATTTTATGTGTTTCAAATTTTCTGTTGAGACCTAAGTTTTACACCACATTCAAGTACATGATGCTTCGATCTACAGTGTGTAACAACGAAAACTTAACAGAGCCGTTTTTGAATATAAAAAGTAAGATTTNAATCGTTACAAAAATTTTCTTTTAACAGAGATGTAAAGGTATTCGAAAGACCTTTAAAACAAGGTGCCACTCGACCTACTTTCCCTATCTAAATAAGGGTCGTCGGACGCACCCCTCCGAGGGGGTGCGTACTACAAAAAATCTGATTAGTCTGAAAGGTGTTCCCCTTTGATTAGAAATCGACGTGTCCGAGTTTTTTTTTAAAATGTCACTTATTGTATTAAAAAATGGCTCTGTTAAGTTTGCGTTGTTACACACTGTATAATTGTTTGTATTTCTATTGTAAATTTTAAACGACATATTAATTATTATGACTTCAATCGTTAAGCAATCAAAGACTAGTAGCAAAGACTACAGAATAGTATTCGGTAAACTTTGCTAGTAGTAAGTAATCACAATGCTATTCATTCTATCACCACCGTATCACAGTATTTTGTATACAGAAGTACTGTGACCGTATTACAGAAATGTTTAACATGCGGTATCATTACTGACGATAGTTGCGGCTGGAACTAAAATATTTGTTAAATTTGACAAAACACCGGGATCGCGCGTACGCAAATCCCGACTACCAAAAATTTAACGCCCGATTTATCCTCATTAGGGATAATCGCAGGTGTCAAGCTGTCCCGTAGTGCAATGGATTGCCCTCGACCTGGGGGAACCGCCTTCTTGATCGCGGTTGCCCCTGCGCCAAGTAAGTATGACTATTCGTTGTGAGATGGAGTTATTTAATTACAACCGCTACGGTATTAGCGGCGACGTGGTGTTCGAAAAGCGCTGCCGACATCTAGCGGACATGACGTGCGTACGAGCTATCGTAGGAACGCAAATGAATGTCCCGGGGGTCCACGGTGGGGCGCCATCTAGGCCACGTAGTTCGAACTAGGCGAGAACATTGATTTCCGTTTTATTTATTGTGATATTTGTTGTAGATTGAAAAGAATCCGAGAGCCAACGAAATAAATATGGTAAAATTAACAAAAAAAACTCTGATTAGATAAATCAGTTAGTGAACGTATGTTTACTTTTGTAGAGATCAATTCAGATGAAATTAATTTATTTTTAAAAATCTTCAACATTTTTATTTATGCATTGAAATATTTATAGCCCAGTCGAATTAGGATTTGACAACGCAAACATTTTTACTGATAATTTTCTTAATCCACACCAAAAAATGACTTTTTCAGGATGTATTGAACGCTCTTGGATCTCATGTGGATTGGTATAGTTCCAAAATTATGATATTATGATATTTTCTATGACATAAATTCAATAAGAATTCAATGAATCAGCTTTTTTACTGAAAGAAATTGCAACAGTCACATTTTTTACATGAAATCCCCTTCAATGAACTATTTTTGCAATCTCTGTTTCATGGATTTGAATTTTTTTTGTTTATTAATGTAACATGCAATTTCACATTTTTCAAAAAAGAAAGTGAAAAAAAATCAGATTCTAATTTTTTCGTTTTTTGCATCTTCTGAGATTTGCAATTGTAATGTATAATTGTTCACACCATCAAAAAGTGCAGATTTCAACAAACCAGAAGCATCCCGATTTTTTGAACAAAACAGATATTTTCACATGAGAATTTTCGATTGATCATGAGGGTGCTTTTTCGATATTAAATCGAAATGAAGGGGAAAAATGAATATTAAATAGTGTGTGGGACACTAAAAGGAAAGCTTTCACCAAATTTGGTAAAGAAAAAACTTTGTAAAATACAACTTTATTCAACTTTTTTCCATAGGACTTGTAATTTTGTCGGAAATCGTGCTAACTGTTTTTTACCCTTAAAAACTCACCCCTCTCTACTTCCCGACTTTAGATAGCCCGTAAATTATATTTCTTCTCATTTTTGACATATTCTCTTCCTTTTCCAAAGTGTTTCATTTCCCTAGTATTTTTTTGTTTCAAAATTCATCGGCACTGCTCTATTTACTAGGGAGTGGTGCTTGTTGGTCGAGTTTGAGTATCTCTGAGCTAGATTTCCCGTCAATTAGTACCAGAATCCCCCGTTTTTTTTTCTGTTTGCATTTCAATAAAGCCGATTTATTACTCTCATTCTTATACTTGAGCAACTTGTCTGTTGAGCTATATCAATTCATTTTTCATTATGGAATGTTGAAAACAATGAAATCAAATTGGTTCAACAACTTCTTCAAGATTATAGATGACCTTGTACATGGCACACAAATTCTCTATAAAATAGGTATTTTCATAGTTAATATCTCTTCAGACATTGAATATCATCTGACAAATACCCTTTGAATAGTTCATTTGATATGGGACAGGGAATGAAAAGGAAATAATGATGTGGTTTCTCACAAGTAACTAATATCCAGCAACGACCGTCCATGAATTTATTATTTACAAAAAAAAATCAACTATACTTGAGCTTAATGTCTACTCTTGTACCTTGTTGTACTTGTATTTGCCCCTCCAGTGCTTAGGTAGGGGGCATGTTCCGGGACAGGGCACTTGTCCGGGTATTTCACAAATACAATGTCTCTCACACAGCGTCCCAAAGTTCGCAGGATTATCCTTCTTTTCTCTGGCTATTGTTTCGGCCTCCAATACGTCTCTGTAACAAAATCGCCATCAGTAAAAGTATTGGGCATACATAAATTGAGTAAATGTTCGTTTTGATGTCTGACGATAGTGTTTAAACAAAATTCAATATTTTTGTAGTCTGATCCCAGAACTTGTCATTGCTTACTTTTGTTTCCCGATGACGTTAATCAAGTGTTCGTGAATTTCTTCTTTAGTTCGCCCGAAAGTGTCAATGAGCATTTCGTGACCAGTGTCTGAAAAAATAATTCATTGCAGTCGTAACTAGAGAAGTTTCTTCGCAAGAAACTCACCGTAAAAACACCTGACGAAAGGAGACGGTGTGAGATTCTTCAAAGTAGCTATCTGGACATTCGGGTTCCTGTACTGAATCTGCGGCAAATACCAAAATACGAAGTCTCTGTAACAAAAACAAAGATGAAGACATGATGTAATTAGGACAACAAGGGAAGAAATACATTTTCAATTCTAGTACATAAAAGCTAGCAAATGCCAGATGGAATTCAACAAAGCTCATAATTTCAGAGATCAGGTCAAAAATATAATTCACAATCATTGTCAGAATTCTTCATTTCTTCAATACTCACTTTGTTCCTTGGTGATGGGGAGCAGTTACATGGTAGTTTATAGTCATTATTTTTATTTGATCCTTCAACGCTAACCGTGCCCCTTCCAAGTATTTTATTGTTCTCCTGATAGGAGCTGGCCCTTTCATGAAAGGCATAGTTTCTCAGTTGATTCTTTTCGTTTCAAGTAACAAATAAAATTTCTCTAGCAAGTTGTTTTCTAGTGAAGAAGTGAGGTTAACGTGACGAATCGCGACGAAATCGACAAAATGTACGGTGGGTGACATCTCTGATAGTAACAGAGAACCAACGGTTGAGATAATTATTTGACATTTAGATTGATTACTCGCTGATAGATGGAACTAGCTATCTCGTTCATTTGACTACAGAACAAGTTCGGTTTTTATGTAGTGGGCGTTCAGAATTTAAGGATATTCCTTTGAGAAGATACAGGAACTTACTTTGTGAGTTTTTTATCATCAATAACATTTACATTGGAATAAATATGTATTAGAAAAACCGTGTGAATTAGAATAACTAGGTTGATTAACAATAATAATAATACATATTTGATGTCTTGCAGTAAATTTATTATTTCTTGAAATTACTAATTCATTTTGAATTTATGTATAGCTTCTTCACTTCCAATGCATGTTCAATGGTGTTTATAATCCTCCAGAAGCAAAAACCTAAGACAAGTAATTCTGTGCGAGTTGTAATGTTCCGACATCAGATTACTCTGCATTTAGACCCATTTTTTTACTTTTCTTCTTCAATATAGTTTGTTCAGTTGAAAGAAAAACCTTAAAACCTTAATGCTCATTGTGCGGTGTTTCAAATCTGAAAGAAATCATCTTTCAATACTCAAAGCTGATCTCTTTGGGAATCAAAAACCAGAGGGCATGGGATAAACTATTACTAGATCATACAACTAGTATTCCACTGAAGACAGTTTCTGACACTTTAAAAAATAAGGATCGTCTTCTTGCAGTTACTGTGAAAGAATCTAGTGCTAGGTTAAATGCTATTCCTGTAGCATCACTTGGAATTCTACTGGATTTCGACTTGGTTCAACACTTTTATAAATGTGGTGCATTTGTAGATGAATCAGGTAGGTACTCATGGGTTGACCCCTGGACTTTTATCTTGCCATTGTGTCATAAATGATCTGATTGAAAGGGCATTAACTTCAGCAAAAATTCCTGTGATTTTGGAACGCATAGGTACAAGTTGAGACGACGGAAAACGGCCGGATGGTATGAGACTTGTTCCATGGAAAAATCAGTTGTTTGGGACTTTACTTGTGTGGATACATTGGCAACTTGCCATATTCCTGCTACTTTTGTGCTGCTGCATCATTAGGAGAAAGGCCCTAACTACAAAATATCAGAATTTAGGAAATGATTATATTTTTCGTTCCATCAATTTATTAATATTAGACAATTATGAAATTATGAAAACAGATGTTAGTGACAGACTTTTCTTCTATCCCAAAAAACAAAATATCATTGGTTGTGGCAGGACTTTAGAAATAAACAAAAATAATTATACTATGACTACAAAGGGCAAAAAGGAGTATGTAGCCAGTGGAGTAAGGTTGGGAAATAGTTCAAACATTACTATAAATATCTACAATGATCATTATTATCAAACAATTTCATCTGCTACTATTTTGTATGTTCTGTGTTATGATTTAATTGTCACGGCATTAAAAATGTCACTTCTATGATCTATAAATTCCACTAAAATTGACGTTTAATGGCAATGTTAAAAAAAGGTAGTTTTCTCCTTTTCTCAAGTTTCCTCAGGAGATGACAAAATGATGCATTTCTTAAAATATTTTTCAACACATGGTATGAATGTAACGCAAGTGGGTTCTCTATTTAGTGTGAAATCAGCATATTATAAAATAAAATGCTTTGTGACATATAATATCTTGCATTTGAAGATGTTATTTCAATCTGTGTGGCCTGTTTATAACAGGAAGCATGATATCGCGAATTTTCAAGTAAGTTTTATTTATTTTCATAGTTCGAGCAAATTTCATACGTTGAATTGTTAAAATGTTAGTGTGATTTTTCGACTAACTACTGAACTTGCCCAACTTTGTAAGAAAGGTGAATTTATTCAATATAAAGAAAAAGTGGTGCTTTGGTCAGTACTTCAAATAGTTATTACGTTGTTTAAAAAGTTTTGATCGTTTGAATTCGGTTTTTGATGGTCTGAAACGTACCTATTGAAAAGGTCAAAAAGCCTCACGATTTGAATGATCAATAGATCACTTCGATGATCGAGGTCTGTTCTTTTTTGCTTTTGCGCAGCCGAAACTATACTTTTTTGGATCGTATGATGAAAAGTGGATCCTCTACGATAACAGAAGTCGTTCACGACTAGTGGTTAGATACCGATGAGCCATCCCGGCACTTCTCAGAGGCCAAAACTCAACAAAAAAGACCATGGTTAGATTAGATTAGATTAGATTAGATTAGATTAATATGGGGCTTCTGTGCTGAACACCCACTACACTGCGACCTTTGCAGGTCTATTGTGTGTGCCCTCATGTATGCTAGAGTTCCTTGTCTAGGCCCGTCCTTATAACTAGACTCCATAGGTCAGACCTCAAGTTCCCCATATACTGAGAGGGTTGTGGTTTTTCCTCCCCTAATGCTGCAAACCTTATCCTTGACAGACCTTCGCAATAGCATAGTATGTGTACGGAGGTTTCCTCATCCTCTTGGCAAAGCCTGCGTAAGGCTGTGTCTACCAGTCCGAAGTTGTTCATGTGTTTGTTGAGTCTACAGTGTCCCGTCAATAGCCCGACCAGAACTCTAGTTGATCGCCTATTCAGACTTAGTAGGTACTCCGTGAATTTTGGTGATGGCTCTTTAATGAACTTTTTGGCCGGTCTCATACCCGGCGCCTTATTCCACCATTTTTGAGATTGTTTTTCCTTTCAGTTGCTGTTACAAGTTTTTCGCAGCGCTTTTGCTGTACCAGACCAGTTTGGAATTGACCTGCATGGAGCTAATTGCTTTTATAGCTGCTTGGCTATCAGAGTATATTGCAATAGTGTTTTCCTTAAACTCTTGCCTTAGTAACTCTTCTGTGCAGTGACGTATTGCTGCCTGAAATATCGTCACTTTTTTACCTAAGCTTAGTGAGACTTTTGTCTTTGGTTTAGTTATATAGATTCCTGCTCCTGCACCTTCTTCAGTTTTTGAGCCGTCTGTGTAACAGGCAATCTCTGCATTTATTGGAGGTCCTCCCTTCCAAGCCTCCCTGCCTGTTATAATTGTTTTGAAGTTTTTTCCAAAGCTATACTGGGGAAGCATCTCATCCGATGGCATTCCATTTATGGGGTTGCATGCAGTACATTTATAGGCATTTGCCATCTGGTCTACTAGTGTAGTTTTGAAAGGGTTTACTGTTAGTTCCTCCTCCTGGCACCATTTATTTATTATTTTTAGAGCCGTTTGTGTGTGCTCCGAGACAGTTCTTGCGAGTTTGAATTTTAGCCTCATTTGTATTTCGTGTACTAGGATAGCCCACAGTAGGGGCGATAATACCCCTCCTTGTGGACACCCCTTGCCAGCTCTAGCTGTGACTTTGGTTTCGTCTATGTTTCCAGGCTGGCATTTATCCACTTACACAGGAGAGTTGGAACCCCTTTTCTATCTAGAGCTTTGGTGATGGACTCTGTAGATGCGTTATTAAAGGCACCCTCGATGTCGATGAATGTTGCCACGGCTATCTCCTTATCCTCTGAGGATTTTGTTAGTAGCCTGTTAAGGTCATCTAATGCCATTAGACTTAGATGACTTTAGATCGACTTGATCGACTTTAGACAGTTGGTTTACCTGGATTGGCGTTCGTTGAGAAGGTTTATTGATAATACCTCATCTCTTATCTATCAGAAAAAAATAAAGAACTGAAAAAAAAGAACTACAATCCTTCTACTTTTCCAAGACTTTATAGAAATCATTTAAAAAGTGACTATAAATGAAAGAGGAACGAAAATATTGAATTTGATGACACAGTTTTTTATTTCAACTTCAAGTATTCTCCACAGAAAGTATTATCTTGGAGTTAATGCTGTTACTGAAAGTATGAAACAAAATTAATTGAATTTTATATGAATAATGGTATTATTACCTCAGAAGCTTTTGTTGGATCAGTTCGAGTATAATCAATTCTGCCTATTTTTGACCTCATTTAACCTTCCTCTCAAGTTTTGGAGGATTCAACAGATTACCCAAGCGAGCCTATAACTTTAGGCTATATTAGGCTATATTATGATTGTAGAATAAATTGAATATTTGAAATGATTCTTTAATCCAGTTTGCTATATTTTTTGATTTTCATAACTGTATATTATTAAATAATGCATAAAATCATAGTTTAGGTAAATATTTTGTGATCTATCGACTTTGTGTACTGATTTTAGATATAGAACTTATTTCCAAACATGATTTTTCGTGTACATTTTATTCCATGTGGAGAATTTTTCATTAATTGAAACGTTAACGGGTTCATATACACTTCCATAATTATAGGCTTCGTAAATTTTATGATTTGGCAATGTTGATTATTTCTATTGTTCCAATTGGTCAATCGAACAAGAAGCGGGAATAGTAGCGTGACGTCACCACATTCGATTTTTAATAATTAATTACGGGAAAACTACGGTACTTAGAGAGATGAAACTAAGTGCACTGTTTTTCAATTTGAAATTTCTATCAAGTGAACTATAAACCAAAAATCATGAAACAAGCCCATTGTTGTTTCTGATAAGGCGAAGTCTTTATAACACTTTTCAAGCCATTACTTTGCTTGAACGGTATTTTTGCCATCAAGAAGCAGTGTAAAATCAAAACACGAAATTGATTTTGATCCATTGTTTTGAAATGAACAAAATTAGTGTCACTCTCAGCACAATAACTCACAAACTTATGAGTAGAATATCATGAAACTTCAACAGCTTTCTTTTAAAGCTTAGTAGCGCCATCTATGTGATAGGCCTGGGACTTTTCAGCCCGTGTAGTAGCAGAATATTATTTGAAAAAACGCTTTCCACTTATTAGTGGCGATAAAGCTTGTGAAGGGAAGTTACACCTAAAGTACATATATATAAAACCCCAATGACTTTGTACATCGCAATATTGTCGATTGTTTCATTAAGAAATAACGGTGTAGCTACATTTTAATTCCGGCTTTTAATTTGTTTTTCACCGGGCCCGTGTCATCAGTGCCGATAAAACCATTTCGCAAATTAAACTTTGTAACAAAAACACCGTCCCGGAAGTCATCCTCAAAAACGATTCTTCCAAATTGCCCCACGACAAAAAAACTTGTTTTTGCTGACACTTTATTGCTGCAATTAATTGACAGATAAGGTTGGGGGGTTTGGTGGAGTGTGTCTAAAATCGATAAATCGGCCACAAATGCATAGATAATTAATCGCGTTGTTCGGTAGGAAGGAACGTGGATATATTTGAGACATAGTTGGCGGCGGGCAGTTCGTGAAGCCAGGCCGTGAGATCAGCCGATGATTGATTTTTGCGCGGGACTCGAACTGGTTTTCTCGAAAATGATGTGGCCGCTATGGGAGGTTAGTTCACGATGAATTTTTTTATTGATTGGAGAATCCAAAAATTCTTCATTTTGTTCCCACTGAATTGATTATTATTTTCCATTGGTTTTTGCAAAAAATGTAATAACGCAAAAGGTGATGTGTTTTGAAAATTATGGAGTACTATGTGAAAAGGTCCATGCAAGCTTGAGTCACGTATTTTTATTCGAACTGAAATAAACAGTGGGGAAATAAGGGTACTTAGAAGTAATATACCCTGAAATTATTGAAACTTTCATTTAGCATTGATGAACATATTAGTAAATGTCATAGATTCATAATATTATGAATATCAGTAGTTAATTCATCGAGGAGCATGCTAACCAACTTTTTGTTTTGGTATTTTTGAAATTATCAGTAATTATCGATAACTAAGTAAGGCAGTATGGCAAAAATCTATCATTTGATGCATTGAAATAGTATATCTGATACAAGTAGTTTCCTGATGTAAAGAAGGTTATTTGAATTCACTTGATAAAACTTTATTTCTTTTGAAATTATAATTTACCAGTGAAAGCCATGAAGACCAAAGAGAGATACAAAAAATCCAGTGACACTGACAGCTGACGTGTTATTTTATTTAAAAAAAGGGTGTTTTTTTGTCTATGTTGAACTATGGAACAATTGAGAATAATTTTGGTGCAAGTGTGATCAGGGACATCAGCTGTTATAGATGCAAATTAGGGAGAAAATCCAATGTCGCATCCATCAAATTAGAATTTAATTAATTGAAAACGCAATTACTATTGCGAGGCAAAAACTTTACGGAAAAGTGTTATTAATTGATTGTGAAACCTTCATAATGAAGAGGCAAGAAAAATGTATTTCAAAATATTAAAAAATCTATTGAAAAACTATCATAAATTATATTAATGAACTTTCATAATCATTACTGATTTGAAAACCATGTAAATGTTTGTCAATATCCAGTTAAAAAGCATAGATTTTACTGAGGTGAGCAATATCTGAATATCTGTTGAGCCATTTATTTGATTGTAATATAAATGACATTTCTATGACATCTATCGGGATGTAATCTACTATCACTTTTATGTGAGCTGATTCTATCTTTGAGTAATCTCTCAACGTTTGACCAATATTTACTCATTTATTCAAGTTTTCACCATTAGAAACAATACACATTGTATTCTTGTGGACTGTATTTACACACATCGGATAAGTCTAGGGATATTTTTAAAAATGTAGTTTAATTGCTGAGCAAGAACTGCATAGAATGTACAAACTCGACACTTTCAGATTATTCATTTTAGCCGAAAACCTACCGTTTGTAAAAAACTTGATAAAAGATTAGTTACCGTTTTTGCAGGCTTTGTTCAACCCATAGAAATCTACAGGGTGGTCGAGTGTACCAATTTAATCGAAATTAAACGACCTCATGCATTTTTTTTATGATATTTAGTATGTTATAAAAATATCCCTAGACTTTTCCGATGTGTGTATATTATATTAGAGAATGGAAGTCCGAACTGATGAAATACACCACGAAACATTGTCGACCACCTTCAAATAAATGTACACATTTTGATTCGCCATGGTATAGTTTTTATATAATTCTCTTCGATGTATGGCTCCTTCCAGGTTCTTCCAAACAATGTCTACACCAGCCTGCTGCTCCTCACAGTTTCTATCTACCTCGTCTACCGCTACCTCACCAGGAACCACACCTACTGGAAAGACCGCGGTGTACCCTTCGAGGAGCCCGTTTTCCTAGCTGGCAACCTCTGGGACGTCTTCACGGGCAAGCGGCAGATAGGAAAGCACCTGGGGCACCTCTACAGCAAGTACCCTCGCGACACGCCCTACTTCGGCATCTACATCATGGGCCGGCCGTACCTAGTGCTCAGGAACCCGGAGATCATCAAGAGCGTCACCATCCGCGACTTCAGCAACTTCGATGATAGAACATTCGCGTGTGATGTCAACGCCGACCCCATGACTGGGAACAGTCTCTTCATAATGCGTAACCCGGACTGGAAGAACATCAGGAACAAGCTAACGCCCATCTTCACGTCGGGCAAGCTGAAGATGATGATCAACATCATGAAGAAGTGCTCCAAGGAGATGCAGACCTACTTGGGCGGCTTCGACGGGCAGGTGGTAGAGGTAAGTAAGTGGGTTTTTGTCTATGAATGTTGCTGGTGTTTGACTCTGGTTTCATGATATTGTTAGTGGACGTGGCTTGGTTTCTCTTGCTTGGATTACTTGATAGGTAGCCAACGTGATTGAGTTACTCAGGAAGAGTTTCAGGTTCACAGATACATCGTGCTCTCACAACCACTTTTTGATTGCCCTTCTCTTCTGTTGTGGCTGGTGGTTACAGTTTTTGTTCAGGTAACTGTATGTGTGTCTTCTTCTCTTGTACACTCTGTGGCCCAATGTACCATCCTCACGTCTGTTCACAAGAACGACCAAGAAGGCTAGAGTCCTTGCAGACCTGCAGACCATGGTTGGAAAATAAATTTATAATTCTGTAACCATATTACAATTGTATCATCGATTCCAGGTGAAGGAGGTCGCTGCGAAATACATGACGGACCTTGTGGCTTCGTGCTTCTTCGGATTGGAGACCAATTCGTTCCAGGGAGAGGATACCGAGTTTAGGAAGGCCAGCAGGGAGATGTTCGAGCTGTCGCCTATGGGATCCTTCAGTCTGTTTTCCTACTTTTTCGTGCCAGATTTCGTGTCTTGGTTCAAACTGAAGCTGATCGATACGACGTTCTTGAGGAATGTGTTTCTCAACACGCTGCAGTACAGAGAGAGGACGAAGACGAGGAGGAATGATTTCGTGGATTTGCTTCTGCAGCTGAGGGATAATGTGATCGAATCCAATGATAAAGGAACTATTTTTGGTATGTTGGCCTACACTGTTGAATGGAACTTTGAGAATGTTACAAAATGTTAATCTCAAAAAAAACTAAAGAATACAGTTTGTTGTATAATTTTAACTATAAAGGAGTTTACAAAAGCGTAAATTTACGCTTGAGGAAGCTGTTGTATAGCAAAACACATGTCGCGGTTTTTGTTAAACCCCTCAGAGTGAAAATCATACGATAAAGTGTATTAATTAGTTTTAAATTGAAATGGTTGCACTTTCTTGTGTGTCTCATCAATAATAACATGCTTATCGATATTTCATTAATCTAGTTTCTTCTATTCATTCCTTTAATTGCGTTTTTGCATGGAGAAGGCAATTTTGATGATTCTATACTTATCCACACGCACGAATTAACAGAATGACTGAAGATGAAAAATTCATCGTACCGTGATGGAATTCCAGCGGTAATGAAATTGAATGATCCACCTGATGTAACTCAGAGTCCTGGTTATTTTCAGCGGCAAGGCCACAACCAATAACGGGTAATTTAAAAACTTCAAGTTGACGTCAATCTAGCCACAATTAATGGGAGGGGTAACATAAGAAAATTCTGACCAAACTCGCTCGAATAACGAATAATTCATTACAGAATAGGATTTAGGTTTTCAGATGTTAATTTTAATTGATAACCAAGTAACAGTGTCATTTTTGAGCAGTAGTCGACTGATCACTGTTTCTTCGTACCCCTAAACTTTCTGAGGCTTAAATTTTGTATGTAGGTTCGTTTTATATTATAGATGTGCAATGAATAAATATGAAAATTACATTTTCATAACTGTTTCTCTGTACCACTATATTTTCTGAGGCTGAAATTTTGTATGTTGGTTCGTTTTATATTGTATATGTGCAATAAGGAAGGATTTTTGAATATTCTAACTAGGGCGCTAGGTGTAAGGGAAAAAGTTACCCTTTCATCCCTCTACGTCTTTAAACTTCCGGTGGGTGAATTTATATTTAGTATCAGCATTGCACCCGTGCAGAGCCGGGGCGGGTTTTAAATAAAAGTGAAGCGATATATTACAGTGTATCGGTTGTTTAGGTAAAAATGAACTTTTGTCCACATGTTAATTAACAGGTATAAACGCAATTATGTTCTTGATGAAAATGATGCTGATTGGGTTTTTAAGAATTTCGTCTTTTTTTACGATTATATTTTTCCGTTTCTCAACGTCATATGTTTTGCAGATACAGACCGAATGGTGTCACAGGCGATAACATTTTTTATAGCAGGATTCGAAACTACTAGCAACGCCTTAGCTTTTGCCTTGTACGAACTTTGCATCAGAACGGACTGCCAAGAAAAACTGAGGCAGGAAATCTCAGAGAATCTTGAAAGCGATGATGACATAACATTTGAGTCCGTTCAAAAGCTGGAATATTTGGATATGGTGTTCTCCGGTAAGTAATTTTTGAAATGTTTAATCTAATTTCAAGTTAGCATTATTGAATTGGAATCAGGAGTATCGGTATCGATCTCCTTTACCCGCATACTTACGTGGTGTTTTACAATCGATTTCATAAAATTGCATCTCTAATTTAACAAAGTTTCAATGACAGTTGTGTTTGTATTTTGACCGGTTTATAAATAATCGGTAAATTTTCGTTTTGAGGACACCCGGCGATTTTGAAAAAATGTTTGCATGTACTTGCGTATTTTGATGCGTGGATTACTAATCCAAAAGAAAAAAGCGGTGCTCTCCCTTATTTACAAAGTTACGACCCTTTAACGTTCTGAAAAGGACAACTTGTCAGCCTTCTTTTTCACAAAATAAACTATTTAAAAAAAAGCATTTATTCACTAGGTCACCTTTACACCTTATTCCTCCTTCTTTGACACTTTTTACTTCAATAATCAACATTTTTCTTATGAAAAACTTAATTTAAAAACGAATGCTTCTCCTGGTGATATTCCTTTATTTTTAGGTTACTTACTAGTGACATTTCAGAAAAAAGCGGTTGGTATTTGCCGCCGCCTACTATTTCAAATTCGTAATACACCACCAAAAACCAATTTACGATCTAAAGAATGAAGGTAAAAAAACATTTGAATTACTTTAGTAATATGGACTGCATCAGTCGTACCAACCATGCCATTAACCTTAAAAACGTAAAATACAGAAATATGTAACCAAAAAACAGATCACTACGTTTTTAAATATTTTTATTGGAAAAATGTTGATTATTGAGGTGAAAAGTGTTAAAGAAGGAGGAATAAGGTGTAAAGGTGACCTAGTGAATAGATGCTTGCGTTTTGAAATAGTTTATTCTGTGAAAAAGAAGGCTGAAAAGTTGCCCTTTTCAGAACTTTGAAGGGCCGTAACTTTGTAAATAAGGGAGAGCATCGCTTTTTTCTTTAGGATTCGTAATCTACGCATCAAAATACGTAAGTACACGCAAAAATTCACGTGACGTGTCTAACAAAATCGCAAAAGTAAGCAGTCCTGTATGTCCATAATCGTTGGGGTTAGGTCGGGTTAGGTTAGGTTAGGTTGTTAGGTTATGTTAGGTTAGGTTAGAGTAGAGTAGAGAAGAGTAGAGTAGAGTAGAGGTCAAATGTTGAGGGTAGATTATTTTTTCCATATAAAACATTCTTAATACGTTAGTTCTTACTCAAAATTTCAGGTTACATGTTGGTTAGGTTGAGTTAGGTTAGGTTAGGTTAGAGTAGAGTAGACGATATAAGAAAAAAAATTAATACTAAAAAACAAGCTAAAAAGTTATGTCACATAACTTGGTTTGAAATCTTTTCATTTTTATAATTTTTGAAACAGTATAAGAGGGTGCATTTCTGCTAAGGGTGTCTACGTGTTTCATTTTGTCTCCCGTTCTGCACTTAATTCCAAAATCAAAATCTTTAATTGCAAGCCACCATCTTGCAACGCGAGGTACAGAATCACGTTTTGTAAAAGTAGAACGTAGAGCAGCACAATCAGTTACAATTGTGAAATGTATTCCCATTAAATAAACACAAAATCTCTCAATTGATTCCAGAATTTCAAAGGTTTCTAGTTTGTACGAATATGTATATCAAATCACTTATCAAGTAATTTCATAACACTTAGTTTTTTCATGATGAGCTATGTTTTCTGAAATAATATTGTATTCATCAATGAATCAACATATAATAATGATATTATTATACATGAAGGTAATATAACGGTATACGTTGGACCAACCCCATACTCTAAAACTAGTGTTTGAAGTCAATTACTCTTGTACGGGTACATTTATCGCCCTATAAACCAACTGACTCGTATGCCATATACGAACTTTTGACACAGATCTTCTTTCTGGAATTGAACTTGATAGAAAGTAATCAACCAATACGTTCAGTTGAATTGAATTAATGATTCAATCCTTTGAACATAAATTAACTCCTCTGAAACATTATGATGAATGTGTTGTACCAGTCAGTTGCACTCCTCTGCTGCGTTATCGAAAAGCATAATATTAGAATCTATTTCATTCGCTCCGACGGTAGATGATACGGTTCAGTGCATTCGGAAAGCATGGAAGTTATTCAGAAATGAGTTTCATGCTCTGTATAATTGAATTTCCCTTCGACTTTTTGTTCAATTTGTATTTCAGCTAAACAACGATGAATATTAGGCAGATCATATAGTATATATTTCCGTTCACAGTGTCTGTAATTAACGACTATTTTATGACTATTTCTCAATGCTCATCTATTTTCTGTCTATATCTGTGTCATGTCCTGAATACTCAATTCAAAAAAAAATGTTGAAGCACTTCAAGAAAATTCTTGAAACGCTCAGACTGAAGTGCCTGTTCATAGGTAGCTAAGTAGGGATTTTCAGTATACGCGATAGCAAACTGACTCCTGTTAGGAGTCTCCTCCTGTTAGGAGTCTCCTCCTGTTAGGAGGAGAACATATACTAGGTCCCTCAAAATCGCGCCTGCAAAGGCAAAAGGTCGTCAAAGTCAAACTGAAAACGTACTTCAAAAGCCTCATCGTCCATGCAGTTGAAAGTCGTTCGAAGTCTTCAAAAGAGCCGCGTGAATGAATGAAGGTCGTTCAAGGTCAAATCCAGAACACTACCTCAAGTTCACCTTACCTGCGACGTATGACGTAGTTCGTTCAAGGTCAAACTCAAAACAATTCCCCAATGTCACCTTAGATACGTCGTTCGACGCAAGTAGATATCATCAGGAAGTGGTGGAGAGAGGTTCTAAAATCGGCTTACACTAACTACCGATCATAAGTACCCCTCCTTGATTGCGCGCAAAACCCCTGATCAGCATAATGATAATACTGTTTCTATATCTGTATAGTAGGGAGGGTGAGTGTAAGCCCACAGTACTTAGGCCACATGTAATCCATTGTACATTCTCCCGAGGAGTTGTCTTCCTAGGTCATCGTCACAACACACACTCTCTCATTGACGATAACTCCGGGCACTTGCACAGGACATGCCTGACAGTCTCATCTTCCTGTTCACACATCCTGTATAGAGGTGTGTCCACCAGCCCCATATTATGGAAGTGTTTCCTTAGTTGACAGTGACCAATCAGAAATCCTACTGTTAGGCGTAGATTTTTCCTGGTCATTGCCCAATATTTCTTAGGCGCCAGCTTCCCAGGGTCACCCAAGGTGATCCTAGCAAGATTACATTCTTTAGTTTCGTCCCATCTCTTTAAGGATTGAGCATGGGTGTAACGCTTGACTAGTTCCGTAATTGTCGAAGTCATCAGGCCGTAGGTGCCACTGGGTCCTAAAATTGTTAGTCCAGCCACTTCCATGGCTAAGAAGTTGGCAATGCGATTACCTTTACTCCTGTCGTGCCCTTTAACCCACCTCAGGATAATGTTATTATCTACCAAGGCTTTGGCTAAATCTTGGTAGTACTAGTACTAGCCCTGAGGTTATACGTTATCTGTTCAAGGCTAATAGGTCTTGTCTGCTGTCAGTGCAGATTGTTATGTTTTTGCCAGAAATTCCTTTCTTGGTTAATTCTTTTGTGGCGATTGAGATACCAGCCAGTCTTCCCATTCCCCTCTTAATGTTTAGGCTTAGTGATCTGGAGTACACTCCACTCCCTGAACCTTCTTTGGTTTTTGAGCCGTCTGTGTGAATCCGTATTGCATTTGTATCATCTGTTTCTATGTTCTGCTTTATTTGTATTTTGTAGGATTCATTGAACACAAACTTGGAAATTTGGAAATTTTGGAAATTCGAAAAAAGATTTGGAAAGATCAATGAATTTGCGTAAAAAAAGTCCCGACTCCCGAAACTGTATCTCGATTATTTATAATTTTCACAGAGCCCTAAGTTTTTTCTTAATATCTCGGAAAATTTTGAAAATTTTGGAAATTTGAAAAAAGATTTGAAAAGATCAATGAATTTGCGTAAAAAAAGTTTCAACTCCCGAAACTGTATCACGATTATTTATAATTTTTACAGAGCCCTGAAAATAGAGCCAAAAGCGGGTAGTCTGGCTTCCGCGCGCCTTTCGTCACTCCGACATAAAAACAAAAAAAATATCCAAACATATTAAATGTGAATATCAAGGAATGAAAAAATTCATGTGATGTTGGGATACATCAATAAACAATAACCCGCAGTCAAAAAATTTTTATCCCAATTTTAACGTCAAATACATTGTTTAAAGGCATGTCGAAATTTTTTTTTGCATTATGTTAATGGAAAAAAATCATGATTTAGAAAAAAAATGGTTTCTTAAAAAAATTTCTTTGTTGCTGAAAATGTGTTTGTTAATTGAAATATATTAAGAATAGCAATGGTCCCAGAACGGATCTCTGCGGTACACCATTCATTCACATTCATTCACATTCACAATATAAAAATTGGGGGCGGCGAAAAAAAAATTGATTTGAAAGGCGTTTGTTTACTAGACTATTAACACCATTGAACAAAAACACATATCATTATTTTCCAAACACTTGCGACCTTGCTCCAAACTCTTCTGCTGTACATTTTCCATTTGACGGACGCCTTTTTCTTTCAGAAACTCTGAGGAGATACCCTTTCGGTCCGTTCCTGAACCGCAAGTGTAAAGAGGAATACGTCATCAAGGAAACCGGTCTTGTTATAGAAAAAGGAACACCGATCCTGGTACCTCTGGATGGTCTGCATTTCGATCCAGAATATTATTCCGAGCCAGAAAAATTCGAACCCGAAAGGTTCGCCAACGGAAGGAAGCTGCAACTGTCGCAATCTTGCGTTTACATGCCATTCGGAATGGGGCCCAGGAATTGTATAGGTAGGCTGATCAGTGCTTAGTATGTTAAAATACTGGACTAATTCATCTTTGGTAATGGTGCTTTTAATTTTGTCCACTTGAATGTCCTGAGAAAATAACTCGAATGAAAAAAATCAATGGGGGTTATTTCGGGCGATACTCAAGGCCGTTTTAAGGGTATGACGGTAAGGAGCAGGCTTATTCAAAAACTTCACTAGACTGAAGAACTAGGACCTAAATTCATGCAGCCCAACACTACCACCCCTTCAGATGAAGTTCTTGTGTAAGACGAGTTTTATGTTCTTCTAATGGAGAGTACTTTGAAGTTTGTCTTTTTTTAAATTCAAGGCTGTATGTATACAGGGGTGCGCAAAAGTCCGGATTACAATTAATATCTTTTTAACCAGTATTTTGGAAAAAAAACGCTGAAACAGGTTGTACGCTTTTTTTGGCAATGAAATGAAATATTTTTTTTCAACCCCTTAGTATTGTGGGGATAGAATGCGGATTCAAACTGAGGTGTGTACTTTATTTAATGCAAAATATCCGGAAAATCACATTTCCCAGGCTACTGTGAGTAAGATCTTACACAAATTTGAAGAACGTGGTACAGTGAAGGACTTGCCCGGAAGTGGTCGGCCACATGTTTTAGACGAAGATCAAAAATTGGACATTGCCGTATCTCTGCAGGAAGATCCACATTTGTCAACGGTTCCATTAGCCCAAAACAATCCTGCGTCTAGACGTACGATTGGGAGGTTTTTGATAACAGAAAAATACCACCCATATAAGGTATGTCTTGTCCAAGAGCTCTTGGAAGATGACTATGACAAGCGTTTGCAATTTTGTGAGGAAATAATGAGGCGATGTGTCGAGAATAATGGGACTCTTTTCGGACGAAGCTACTTTTTATTTACATGGAGTAGTTAACAGGCACACCTATCGATTCTGGAGTCAGGAAAACCCACACTGGATATACGAAGCTCGTACGCAGCGTCCACCACATCCTGGACCTTCTTTAGTTTTGATAATTTTCATATTTATTATTTTCAGGTGATCGATTCGGACTGATCTGTGCCAAGGTGGGCTTAGTCTACTTCTTGAAGAAATACAGAGTGGAAAGTTGCAAAGAAACACCTACTCCCTTAATTTTGGACCCGAAATCTCCTTTCATGTTGCCAATCAATGGACTCAAAATGGTGGTCACCAAAGTGTGAAACTATTATTGACGTAAATTTTAGGAAATAAGTTCGACTCTGGATCTGCCACGAATGAATGAGAAATATTTCACTTCGGAATGTTGGATGCACAAATTACTTGATATGAGTACTTTTGATGTGCCGGTAATTAAGATATAGAAGAATTGTATTTTGTTATTAATTCTTTTAGTGCTAGTAGACTACTTATTTATACTTATAAGAGAACAATCGTGCATGTCTATAATTTTCGATCAAGCAATAGCTTTAGTTAAATTTCGTTATTAAATAAAAATGTACAGTTAGACAGTTTCGTTTTTTGCCGGAGAGATTATTTTGATTCAATAATCTTCATGGATTTGTGTCATTCAAAAAAGACAAATTTCCTGTAGGAATTCGAGAAATGACCTAAAAGGCACATTCAATCTAGCGAATACAAAGTAATTCAAAAGGTTCAAAACTAGCTTATACGAGTTTACACCAAAATATAAGTTTGTCTGAGGCACCGAATTGATTTAAAGAAGCTTCATAGATGAAAGATCACACCGAAAAAATTTCAATGCATATAGTAGGGAACAATACGAAAAATGCATACTCTTTGTTTTAAATCAAATAGACATATTCAGTAATGCTGGTGACGTCACAAACTAACTAACGTATGCGAATAAACTGAGCTGACCTTTCATCGTGTATACCCCGTTGGAATAAAGCGAGAATCGCGAGCTGTAAATTCTGTGATCTAACAATTGATAGAAACCCTCTGTGGTAATAAACTGGTAAGAAATCAAGGATTGTAGTTTCTCTCAATAGAAAAAGTTGTCTTTGGCAAGAAACCACCAAATGACGATTCTAGACCATATATTGAAGAATATTCTAGTTCTGTGGTACAGAACTAAGAACATGTGAATAGGAAATTCAGTTTTCTATGTTGGCTGCATTGTAGAGTATGACAAAGGCGGCTATTTCGAATGAAAATGTGTGATTCAAATAATTTTTAATTGGCTTTTATTGATTTCTTGATTTGAGGCTGATCAAATCTGTCTTAATACCTCTTACTGTGCGCAAGAAGAAAAATGTTTTCTTTAGATTAACTGAGTTATAAGACAAAAAACTTGAATAGATAGATCAACAACTTATCAAAATAATAGTTTATGGCTGCTTCTGTTACCTGTTCCTATTCCCGATCGTCTTTCTGATTATGGATTATAGAACTGGTCAAAAATCTCTGAAATGTCAAAAAGATGAATTTTCCTTCAATTTTTATGTGTCATCACAAAATTAGAAGAAAAAATAAGTTGCGAACTATGTAAAACCTTTTATTGATAAAAAGATACTCGTATATAATTTTATATTACAAAATAATAAATTAGGGCGAAGACTCATATTTCATCTGGNTTTTTAAATAAGGGAGAGCGCCGCTTTTTTCTTTCGGATTCGTAATCTACGCATCAAAATACGTAAGTACACTCAAACATTTTTTCAAAATCGCCGGGTGTCCACAAAACGAAAATTTACCGCATAAATACCAACCACGTAGTTAACGGCTACATCCATCAATTTATTAGCTCTGAATTTTTTGTTGGCAAACTTGTGCTATTATCTGGAAATTATTACGTCCTAATCATTGTTTGAATAATTCTGGTAATAATTACATATATAACTTTGAAACTGATTATAAGTGTGCAAAGGGTAAGTTTTGTCACAATGTATTATTGGTAACCCTATTAAAAAAATACACTTAGTTGCTTCCATTGCATCTATATCAACTTACTTCTTCCTCTCTTTGTGGATGAAGAAAACAACAACTGCATTCACTACAAACAGGACTAGTATAACCATAATAGGTACTATCAACTCTGAAAATAAATAAGAAATCATTAAAAATCAGCGTCTTTTTTTGTTCAATAAATGAATGTGTATAAAAATATGTCTGACGAGAAATTATTGTTATAAATCATTCCCTGAAAAAAATAACGTCGGCCACCGGTGGTCGACGTCAATCGACTTCCATTGGTATTATATAAACACTACTGATATGCAAGTCTAGGAAGTCTAGTTAACAGTGCGATGCGAAGTGTTCTAATAAGGCGATAAACATTTGAATATTACTTTGAAGTTTTAGTCAAAGCGTTTCGTTGTAGTGACAGTAAAATAAAGTGTCAATTAGTGACAAACCCACGGGGAAAACATAATAATATTGATTGTTACGTGTCTTACTATACTTTTTCTTTAATTGACCTCAGTAATATAATAAAGTTTCCTCAATGAAAGCAGGGCCCAGAAATATTCTACTTTTCTGTCGACTGTGATTTAAGTATAAATCGCTTGAAAAAGTGAAGTTTAAGTATAAATCACTTGAAAAAACATCGAACATTAGCCTTTTCAAGCGATTTAAGTATAAATCACTTGAAAAGTGAAGTTTAAATATAAATCACTTGAAAAAGCTAATGTTTCAGTGAAACATGTTGTGATATATTTTTGAAATAAAGTTTGTGGGGATCTAATCGTTAGTTGTAGTTTTTGAAATTACTATGGATCTCCATCAACTGACGGCCGAATCAATAAGAAAATTAAATATAACGGTTGGTGTTGACTGACACGTGTCGAGGTAAGGGTATTTTTCGCGAAAACCGGCTTTCAAAACAAAAAAACAGAAAGCTCTATCGATACTTTACCTGAACTCATGTTGTGAAAGTTTCCTGGTTTGATATTTTCTAGATTTCTCGTTAAATTCCAATGGAGCGGGGATGACGATTCTGTAAAAAATAATGAACGGAGTCAATAAAGAAAACAAAGAATACATATTACGAAGTGTAGTACTTTTTTTTGTAATTGTAGATGTGTAATAAGACATGATTTTCAAATATGCCAATTGGGGCGTCAGCCGCGGGGAAAAAAAAGGAGCGTTCATGAAATAAAGTTACCTTTTCATCACTGTTTGTATAAGCCCTTAAATTTCCGGTGGGTGAATTTATATTTAGTATCAGCATTGCACCCGTGCGGATTCGGGGCGGGTTGCTAGTACGTAATACACAAGAACAACATCAATTAACAAACGCCCTTTAATCCACTTGATGATTATTGATTGGTGATTAGTTTTACCACGGCGAGAGCTAGGAAATACGTTAAAAAAAGTACGTTACGTTTGAGAGTTATGCTAGAATTTCAATCAGTACCTGTTGGTATCAGTTGAACCCACTTTCCTGTTGACTTATAGGCAATGAAACAACTTGGACGACATTAAAGGCATGCAGAGTATTACTGACTTTAATCAACAAAATGCTAGTAACTTCCGAGGTCGTAGGTGTATGCAGTATGTAATATAACTCGAATTCAATTTAAATTATGGCCAATGAGTGCAAGGAAAGCATTAACGTAGAATACAGGGTGTTCCAAAATTGCTGTGAAAAAATACAAGGTCGTGTTCAGGAGTTAATTGTGTTGGAAATTCAGACTTTCCGAGATACAGAGGGTGTTAATTTTCCCTTAAAAACCTTTTTTTTTGTATTAATATTGGCGCTGGTTTTCATTTCCACTAATTTTTGTAGACTGACTTAATTTTAAAATTGGTAACTTCATAAATATAGATTAATGTGACAAATGTGCAAAAAAGGTTTTTTTTTCTGGAATCAAATCAAGGGATGGAAAACTTCAATTTTTGGATGTTTTACACAAAAACAAACAACAAAAACTATAATAATCAGTTAGCTAACAGTTTTTTGTACTAGTACAGATACGTAGATGATATCTTAGTATGTTTTACTGGTACAGATAGGAATGGGGAATGTTCCTCCTGACGAAAATCAAGTAGTTTTCATGAAAGAGCCCTAAAACAACGAATTTTAAACTTATCATTTCAACCGTTTTCTTTAAAAAAATTATTTAAATACTTAAAAAGATGAATGAAATAATGAAGGGATTGGTTTCTATTTTACCATTTGGCAACATCGCTAATAAAGCTAATAAAGGACAATGAATCTGTTACCTGTATGACACAAACAAAGATGACATATTTCAGAAGCGTGCTGTTCTGTTTGCTTATGTTCCGAGTTCCGAAACATTCTGTGACATATGACATTTTTTGCACCTAACCTATCTTCCTCTATGTAAATAAATAACAAAACGACTGTTGTTTATCGTGACTTGTGGAGGTGGTATTGAACTATAATTAATATTTTGCCTCAATTGTTGATTTATAAAGATACTTTTGCTTTTTTAAAGTAGAATATCGAGGTACGTATAAATTATTTCAACTTGATATAGGCGCTGTTGCCAATATGTGAATTAGAAACAAATCCCTTTAAAAATTAAAACCCAAAATTTGAAACATCAATTTGAATACTTTTCGAAGTGAATTTGAAAAAGTCATGAATTAAACTCAACTTTATTTTGTTCAAACTTGCATTTACTGTAATAACCCAAATTGAGGAACATCCTCCATTAGGCAAGTTCATTGAATATGCCAATTCCATCCACCCGTCGAGAAAATTCACCACTGAGAGGGAGGTAAATGATTCAATGAATTACCTTGACTTAACCATTACGAAAAATAACAAAAAATATGAATTTGCAATTTTCCACAAACCATCGTACACGGACATTATCCTACATAATTCCTCCACACACCCTCACCAGCATAAATTTGCTGCATTCAATAGTATGCTTCACAGATTATTGAATATTCCACTGTCTGATAGGGAGTTTCAGAAAGAGCTGAATTTGATCAAACAAATCGCGGTTAATAACGGTTATGAAGTAGATATTATAAACGCCATTCTTTTCAAAAAACTACAAAAGCAAGCCATGGACCTGGTCTACCCATATTCAAGTTGCGATAACGTCAGTTATAAGACATTGGCATATTTGGAAGAACCAACCAGGAATATTGCCCGTTTTTTTAACAAAGAAGGCGTAAACGTAGCTGACAGAACGAATAATAATCTAAGTAAATTTATTAAAAACAATAAAGACAAAACTTCGGTGTCGGATAGACCAGGAGTATATAAGTTGACTCTTGTCCAAAACTGTATATTGGCCAAACAGAAGAACATTTTCCCAAAGAATTAAAGAGCATAGAAGTAGTTTTGTAAATATAAAGACCAATTCCACATTTGCAAACCACCTATTAGCAGAAGGACATGAGTTCAATCATGAATACGATGTGTTACATTTAGAAGAGAAGAGTTTGAAACTCAATCTACTAGAATGTTTAGAAATCAATAGATTTAGGAATTCGGGTAATTTACCGAATGATCAATTAGAATTGAATAACTCTCCGTTACTGAATATATTTTCAAATGTGGAAAA